GCCCCGAATTCTTTCTTGAGGCCGTTCGAGGTAGGGGGTCCGACGACGGTTCCCATGTTGCCGATCTCGGTGGAGCCACGGGCAAAGGCGAAGAGGACGTCTTTGCAGCCGCCGCGGCTGAACTCGCTCGAGCTGGATCCTGTGCCGCCGATTCCACCACCGAAGAGCTGGCGGCTCTCGATTTCGATGGGGCTGGCGGAAGCGAAGCCGGCAAGGGCGGCGATGAGGACGGATTTGGTATACATGGTGTTGAGTGGTGAATGGATAGGGGGAAGTGGGATGGAAGTTGAATCTGCTATTGACAAGAAGATAGAGAAGAAGTGAAAAAGGTAGGAGCGAATGTAAGCACCGGGCCTGTGAACTGTAGTGTTGCTGGCAGTGTTGACTGATGATGATCTCCAACTGAAGCCGGCGTCCTACCTTCTTATAATCCCAAGATGTTCGGCCAGACGTATGGCCAAGCTCAATCTACCCATGACGACGATCAAGTCGAAAAGACAGGGCATAGTGCCAGGCACCGCCAAGGTATCAGTGGGCTCATCGATGAAGTGGAAACAACCGGTAACTAAAATCGCAGCCGAGGAAGGTGTTCGTCGACTCGACACTGGATTGGCCAACTCTGTATCGATGTATTACAAGGACAACAAGCCCCAGTCATGCAACTGCTACCAAGTGCTGCCAAGTTGGTTGAGTTCTCATGAGAGTCATGGTGGAGATGGGGTACGGAGGAATACCAGTCCCACTTTGAGCCTCCTCGACTCGAACAACCTGTACGGTCAACCATTCAGGACCTTCAAGTGATCCGACAACCGAAAAAGCACTATGATCATTCATGCGCTCGGACTTTACTTTTTAGTCACCCCGGCTGATCTTGCTACAGGGCAGTGCCCCACGCGAGGATGTTCCTAGTGCGTCCGCAACGTGCCTGCCGTGCCTCGGTACGCTGTGAAGTCTGCTGTGAATCATTGGCCATAGTGACGTCCGTCTCCGAGCTGTCAGTGTAGGAGATTGAGCTGACAAGAAAACGGCTGTCTCGAAAAAGCGGAATGACTTCATCGCAAGCAATGCGAGGAAAACTCTCGACATAAGATGCGATTGGGCAGTCTGCGGATGGCGATATTCCTGCATGATACTGCGGTTTTGCATATAGCGAAGTTCCTGTTCGTTGTCAAGAACGCTTCCAAACGCAAATAAGCTTTCGCATATTTGCTGCCGTTGCTGGTATAGGGCTGATCGACGTCACGGGAGCGTCCCGTTATGGACCGTGTGCTATTTTAAATTCGCCTGACGCTCTTAGCTGTTTCAACACCCAACGTGATACAAAAAGCAAGCGCACCAAAGATGGCCAAACGCTGGCAACGCCAGCATCGCAACTTGACCGTTGTGAGCGGAATGCGCCGCACATGGAAGCCATGCCTTCTTGCCTTTGACTGCGACGTCTGGTGACGTTGGAATTCTTTTCGCAAAGGTACTCCAATAGATGGATGTGTTTGGTGTATGCGATGCTGGCAGACTGGGCATGTAAGACGAGCTTGCTTCCACCCACGGCATTCTGCTGTCAGGATGCTTCAGGCGATGCTGATGCAATTTGGCCAAGGGTGCCAGCCATCGCAACACCCTTAGTGCACGACTCTATACCCTGCTTCATCCTGCGGACACCAAAAACGAACAGTTCTTGGGAGCAAAAGAAGCAGGTACAGCATCAGCCACTGCAGGGTGTTGCCGTTGTTGAGGATCTTGGATCTTGCGATCGATGCTTCCATGATCTTTCTGCAACCCCATTCATCCGCACCACCTGCCCGCGCTGGATGACTCGCAAGGAAGGCGCGATCATTTTAACCTTACGCCTGGTATTAACCGTTGAGTCGATGAGTCGCTGAGTCGCTCCAACCCTGAGCTTCTGGCAATATGACTCGGAGGGAAAACGGCATTGATTGTGATGAACATGTCGATGCTCGCGTTCGCTTTTCCAGACTGTTCATCTCGCTAAGTGCGGGGCGCTGTTGAACACTCTGGGCCTGGAGCCGGGTCGACATTGACATTGCACAATCTTCGTTATCAGGTCTATTGCGGTCAGTGCCGGGGGTTTGAGTCGTTCGAGAGTCGTTGTAAGGAGGTCGTTGGAGGAAGACGATGGTGCCACGTGGGTGCCAGAGGCGGAAAGTTAGAATGACGACTTCACCCGGCGGTGGTCAAAGCGCGCCGTCCGGCGAACCTTATGAGATGCGCGTTAAAGACGAGGAACATACACCTCTACGACTCGTACGTGTAACCGTTGGAAAGGAAGACGCGCCATACAGACTTCGGAATGATTGATACGAAGCAACCAACCTTGCGGAACAGGGATGGTTCCCGTCGGAAAGCATCCCACTCCCAAGCCTCGCGATAACGATAACGTATGGTTGGGCCAAGCAAGCCAACGACCAAGGAAGATACATTCACGCTGCACAAGACCTATACAACTCTCAATCCGGACTCGAAAAGAACAAGAGAACAATTCCAAACTCCAAAATGCACGACCCCGTCGCCTCAGCAAAAGCCCAAGAAGCAACCCACCAATACACCTTCCGCCCCGCAACCCCCGCCGACATACCTGCCCTACAATCCATGATCGCATCCTCACTCCGCAGCTTGGGAAAAGGATACTACACAGACGCCGAGCTCGATGGCTCGATAGGCTATCTCTTCGGTCCAGATTCCGTTCTGATAAAAGACCAGTACGTATAATTCCAACCAATAGATCAACAAGAATAAGGCGTCCGTCATCAAGTGTCATCAAGCATCATCCGTTTGCGGAAGGTAGGGGGGATATGTACCCCTCTTCTCCACATTGCCAAAGACCAGATCCAGAAACCTTAGTAGTGGAATGGGGAGGGGAAGAATGTTAAGGATAGTAAGGTTGATGATCTCGCAACAGAACATACTACATCCTCCACCCCCTCAACCAGCCCCTCACAATCTGCGCCTGCGGCGGCTGGTCCTTCCGCAAAACACTGTACGGCGGTGATTCCGCACCTTCTCCCCTGCGCATGCCAGAAAAACGCGATCCAGCCGTTGACCGCGCGAGCATACGAGCAATCTTCACGAGCCCGCAGTATGCGCGGAAAGGCCTGGGCACGATGATGATGCGGTATTGTGAGGCGAGGGCGAGGGAAGGCAAGCCGGATGAGACGGACGGGTTTAAGACACTGGAGATGGGGGCGACGCTTAGTGGAGTGCAGTTGTATGAGAGGTGTGGGTATGTGAGGAGTGGGAGGGTGGATGTCGTGCAGTGTCCGAATGGGGAGGGGATTCGGATTTTGCATATGACTAAGGATTTGGATGAGGAGGAGGCAATAGATGGGGTCTGAGATAGGGCTGGGAAGGGGAGGAGGGAGTTGGTAAAGTGTAGACCTAAAGATACATTCTGCGAACCGACCCTTCCAAGGTTGTCACGATCGTGGTATTAGCCGTGACCCGTGAGCTTGTAAGCGAGATCTAAAGTGGTACCGTACACGGCGCAATGATGACCCGTGTTAACGACTTCCTGCACGCTGGTGAAATGCGGTGATGTGTTGTCAAGGAAGCGTGAACCCTGCCGCTTTGGGTTAGTGGATGATGGACGCCTCGCGGTAAGGCACCCGATCGGGCGTATCTACTGCTTGTGGCGCTATGGTGCGGTCTTGATTGGGGTATCACAGGGTAGAGCAGGAAAGAGAACTCGAGTAAGAAGCTTGGTGGCTCGTATATCAAGTATGCGAGATCTTCCGGTTGTTTGAGTAGACGATTTCTAGTTCCTCTTTTTCGCGGATCACGCGAATTGTTATAACTAAGGCGCCGATATTTGGATTGTTAGCTTCACCCTGGAGTTGAAATCATACACCGCCAGCATGTCCGATCCTAAAGCCGCCGCGCTGTCAACGGCTGTTGTCATCATCACCGTACCATCGGGCACGTAGTCTCACCGTCGACGTCCATTCGATAATGCCAGCATACGTGGCTTATGGCTTCAGAGTCTAGCCGTTAAAGTTGCTCACCGGGGACGAGAAGAGTCATTCTGGGGTTCGAATGGCGTAAAAATCCGGGGAGTGTTTGGTCTTCTCCGGACAGGCGGTGGCATGTGAAGTCACTCAAACCTGCCACGAGGATGCGAGGGCCAATGGCACGCGAAGCAATGATCATCACCGGACCAACAAGGCACCTACCGCTTCAATACGCGCGGTCTGCCAGCATTACGAACAGCGAGCGGGGCGAAGAGTATTTGGACTGGAGAAGAGGTCTAGACGGAAGCGCTGGCGGAATTGGGTAGCAGCGACAAGAGCCATTGCGGCAATTCCTGACGACGCCGAAGTCGGGTACGAGTGTGTCAGTCACGGTTTCACTTGATGGAGCAGCGGGAGGCAAGAGTGTAAAACACTTTTTTTTTGAGGGGACTAGGATATGTTATCGCAGAACGCACCAGCACAATGAAACCGAACGCATCCGGCTCCGATGCCCAATATCAATCCCGCCACATGCTCCCAGTGACCCTCCATTTTGTCGTAATTCAGAAAGCAAAAAGATTCAACGCAAGCAGTGCACATGAGTCAATGACGCGTGTTCCAAAGTCACCTTCCAGTCAGACCAGAAGCCAACAACGCAAGTCATGACAGCCGGGGTATCGAAGAGTGAAGTAGAGGCTTTGTGCAATTTCGTCGTAATCGTAGGCTGTGTGCATGACTCGAATCGTGCCGTGTCGTCTACGTATCGGAACTCCAAATCCCAAAGACGCGAAAAACTCCAAAGGAAGCCAAAGCCCAGAACATAAGAGAAACAACCGGCATCTCGCCGGGAAGAGGATCGACTTGGCCACAGATAGGTCGGTGACAGTTGTAGTAGCTAATAGTCACATTGGTTGGAAGCTGGGCGTGCGCCAAATCGATGCGAAACCGGAAGTACTCCAAAGGTGAAAGCTGACATCCAGACCATGATGTAGCAGCGTGAGTGTCATAGTGTGGGGCTTTGTGCGTGGAAGGAGGTTGTTATGACTCCAGGAAGTCGTCCATCTCCTTCTCCAGACCCTTGTTCCAGAGGTACTCGTGGTCTGGCTCGATGTGGTAGTCAACGGGGAGGTAGACGTCTTCCATGGTGGGGATCTTGCAAACCTGGTCCATGGGGTACTGCTCGATGGCGGGGAGCTGGTTCCACATGAGACCCGGAGGACCCTCCTCGCGGGGAAGAGGAAGGAAGCGACCAACACCTGTCTTAGCTCGGTCATCGCCCTCCCACTTCATTTCAGCCATTGAGGGCCACGGAGCGATTTCGTCCTTGCCGTTCTCCCAGTCGTTGCACCAGATGGTTTGTTCACCTAGAGCGCGGCCGTAGTTTCCAATCTCTTCGAAGTTGCCTTCTAGACCGCACCTAGTGAGCGTCTTCTGGATGTCAGAGGAGATGGGGGAGGATATGAAACGGGCGTCTTCCTTGCTCTTGACCTGGTTTGCGAGCTTGTTCGCCTGCGATGCTAGCATGGCCTCTTTGTGAGCAACATAGTCGCTCAACTTCCACTTTGAGACGTCAGAGTTCTTGAAGAGTCGGCGCATTGCATTACGGATCATGAGAAACTCTTGCTGGACCTGTGCGTCCGGGGACATCCAAGTACGAGAGTTGCGGTAACTACCCGCACCACCACCTCCTCGACCGTTGTAGCCAGCTCCGAATCGATTGTTGCCACCGAACCCACGACCAGGAGGACCATACACACTCGGCTCGTTGTGTTGCTTCTGTCCGCGCTGATGAGGGTTAGTGTAGCGGTCTACGGTGCTCCTGCGGAGATCAACACCACCGCCGATGGCCAAACCGTTGAAGTTGAGGTTGTCTGGGCTGATGGGGCTATTAGGAGTCTCAAGACCATCGCCGCTGGAGCGAACGTCAGAGCTCTCGTCATGAAGGGTATCGCCGCTAGAGTCGGACGTCGGAGATGTGACTTTGGTATCCTGGAGTTCTGGTGCAAAAGCCTTGCTGGGCGTCACGACTGAGTCCCCAGTTACGACTTTGATGGGATCGACCATAGAAGGTGACATTGAACGATGCCTGATGGGGTGGTGTGGGAAGAAAGATAGGCGCTGAGGCTGTGCAATGGTTCGAGCCCTAGAGGTAAAGGCCAACGGTGTTCAACTTTGCGTGGGGCTGTAGCGTGTAGGTGATGTGTGGATATGGTAGAGAGCAGCGATGTGTTGAGACTGTAATTTGTAGGTCTGATAGAGCCAAGAGTGGTAATGGTAGGAGCCCAAGCGGTTACGAGAGACTAGATCAATCTAGGTACTCCGACTATACACGAAGTTCAATTAGCAAAGATTCACTACACGTGCGCTGGTTCGGGTCAAGAGACAGCGTCACCGCCTTCGCGATGGTGGTCGGTATAAGTTTGCTGCCCGAACACTTGGTTCGCGGGATGAGATAGATAGCGCAAAACCTTCTGTCATCTGCGGGAGACCAGTAGACGAGGTTTGAGTCGACACCGCCCCAAAGTTTCGGAGAGTGCGGCATCGATGTGCAATGTTTTTGTCACATACCTGAGAGTCTGGGCCTTGCAAGTGCGGGGTTTACAAGATACCCGGGGAGATAGTGAGGCGCCAAGTTGTTGAACCCGAGCGCTTGTTCTGAACCTCAAAGTGAGCGAATGAGGCAGACCTGATTGCTCACATGTACAAGCTTACGAGGAGTGTAGTTGGTAAGTTGAGTTGATTATTTGGTGAAGTCTTGGGTAGAAGAGGTTTACCGACAGAAATGTGTGTTATTGTAGCGCTGAAAGTTGCCTAATAGATGTCTTAGCTGCCATAGGTCCTGCCTAGCGATGATAGAAGGTGAGAATGAGAGCGTACGTTCTGCGTGATCGAAGTTATTGTACTCTCAGTAGTAGCCTGCGATATCGGTCACCGGGCTCAGGTACGTGTTCACCTGCTCGACCAGCGGTGTATTGAGCGGAGCGGGGACTGGGATGCGGTACGCTGTCGCGAGAGCGGTAATATTGGAAAACGATTGCGGTCTCTTCGGCTGTGCGCTCTCCAAACTGATAACAAAGTAGAGGACAGGAGGGACGATTCGGGCGAGTAGTAACAAGTGCGGTCGGTTCGAAAGCGGAGGGATCTGATATGTACTGCGAGTGGTTAATAAAGTTACGTCACGTCAGGCAATGCAAAGTGCGAGCAATTGGGAGGTTCCGGAACGAGTATGGCGCGAGCGTAGTGAACGAGTGGGCAAAGCGGAGTGGGTAAACAAGTCGTAATTTGCGGTTGGTGGGGTAAGGTGAGGTTTCTCGTCACTGAGCACGGCCTGCACGGTCGAGTTGCAACAACGACGCCCGGGCTCATCGTTGACGCGGAACGTGCTGGAAGCTCGAGTTCACCTCACCACTCCTCAGACTCCAGCAGACCAAAAGCGGATAACGGATGACGTGTAGCGACCAGCGCTATCAAGGAGAGGCAAGCGGACGATAATCATAGACGGTGATGGTGAGAATAAACGAAAGGGGTTCGGACAAAAAGATGGTGATTTGGAGAGGAGTCGAAGGCTCAAAGATGAAGTGCTGTTATATGTCTTGGTCAGCAGGAGATGTAAGGAAAGCGCGCTCAGAATACGACAAGAGCGTGCAACGTGAGGAAGCGACTGCCCATGAGGACTGTTGGCAACGACAACCTCGGCAAGACTTATGCATCTCCTCTCATTCAGCGACGTGTCGCACTCCATAGCAGTGAACTTGTATCACAAGACTACCAAGGGGAATTGACATGAGCGGTTCAGCGGCGATTAGACATACATCCTACGAGGTCATGCATCTCATGAAGCAGGTTCTACATTGTGAGAGTCAGTCATGTCACTCAACCTAACACCTCAGCAATCTTCCAGAGGACAAGAGAGATGGCAGAGGCGATGCCGATATACAAGATAGGTTGGATATATCGGTGGTGCGGTGAACTCTATGGTGGTCTCGGTGTTGAATTCTAAAGACGTGTGATCCGGAAGGCAAATGCGTAACCGAGAGGAGTCGCATCAATATGTACAGCGTGGCCATGCAGAAAGATCTTGGACGTGAGCTGTCGTCGTTGGCGTTGATGCAGTACGGAAGAATGTTTGAAAGCGGGTTCGAGGAGATGAAGTTGGGACGACAGGGCCGTGTTTGAGCCTTCTAAGCGAAAATGGCATGATTGGACAGAGGCGGCCGGGCAGGAGCGACCGGCGCATGGCTCCACACCAGCGCTACGCCGCAGCCACGCATGCAACTTGGCGTATTGATCAGATTTCTGGCTACGGCATCTTCACGGTCAAGCATGACGGCGCGTGACATGAACACTCGTTCTATTTTGGAACTCATCGAATGCGCAACATCTGGCGGCGCTGTTGATGGAATTTCTGGGTGTGAAGTTGGGTCTTTGACAGCTGCAGAAGACCAGACTGGGTATGACGTCTTCGCTAGCTGCAGAAACGCGAAATCAAGGCATGACGGCGCCACAGGCCTTCGGACAGCCGTGCGGCGACGTGTTGCTACATAACGTCGGCGTCGCGCATCTCTCCGCGCCTTGAGCACCTCCTCTGCCATCGACCGACGTTCAGAGGTCGTGTTCCCTTGCGCTCGACAACCCCATCCTGCGACGACCCCAGATGTCACGAGGTCGTGCACCTGCCTTTCTCCACCGTCTGCGGGAATATCGCACGCCAAAGAGCGCAAGCCGTGGAACAAAGGACACCCGGCTCGACTTGCGACAACCACTCGAGGACAAATCGGCCCAAAATAACAGACGCTGGCAGTTCGATCTGTTTTAGCGTCTTGTTTTGGGCCTTTCTACAACTGACCGGGTGACTGGTCGGGAGTGGCTTGCTCCACTTCTGCGGGCGCGTATTCTCGGGCCACCACCTTTCCTAGATTTGCCTATTCTAACTTGAGCCTCACGATCGTGTATGCCCTGCTGAAACTCTCTGGTCGTGCAGGCCTCTTCTCGAGGTATCATTGGTACCTAGTGGAGAGGCCTGTTACTGGTCCTCGCTCTCTCGCGGTACGTGGATTCTCCAGTCATTTCACCCTAGTCGCTGTGAAGTAGATATTCACAGCGGTCTTCCCCACTCCAGGCTCCTTCACCACGCTGCTTCACTACCACCTTTTCCTATTGCATTGTACGGAGCGTTGGGTTTTCCTATTGTTGTCTATTGTCTTCACATTGCAATACTTCGCCTAATACCTTTTCCTACGTCGCTACCTTGTCTCTGGAAGACATTCATGACCTAGCTGGCCTACTACCACGACCGCACTTGTTTACTGATTTATCATCGATCCTGAACCTCAGAGTCTAATACGCCAGCCAGACCACGTTTCACAGCCATACATCTTCGCCATGGCTTCCTCCGCGAACCAACAGCAACTCTTTCCACCTGTGCCTCCATCTATGTCCGCTGGCGATAGTCATGAGATGCGAGACTACTACCCATCGCAAGATGCACCACGACCTACAATAAACCAGACACCAAACTTCAAACCATACCTCGGCCTTCGAGCTAGGCTCTCACAGATATGGATCAATCGCTGGACGATCCTACTGCTCCTAGTCCTTGTGCGACTACTTATCGCCATCGCAAGCACCGACGCAAGCCTCGTTTCCGCCCGTCGGGAAGCCCTCAGTGCTTGCACCCAAGTCGAGAACATCGGCAGCTCCATGGCCTCCATGCCCCACTACATGGCCAAGGGTGTCAACGAAATGACAGCCTCCGGGGTTGAGAAGGCAATCAGTGGCCTCATGCAAATGCTCGAAATGAGTGTCACGGGTGTCGAAGAGATTATCCTCTTCGTCATTCACATGATGACAAGTACCTACCTCTGCCTAATCACCCTCGCTGTCAGCGGCAGCCTTCACGCCGCTGTGGAAATCGGCGAAGCTATCAACAAACAGCTCGACGAAACAATCGAGTCTGTCACCGAAGACATGGGCGACGCCGTCAAGTCCGTTTCCGACGGCATCAACTCCATCATGGACAAGATCAACTTCAACCTCCCGGGATTTAACAAACCAGAGATCAACCTGGACGACCAGATCAAGAAGCTCAAATCACTGGAGATGCCTCCTGATATGTCGGAGGGTCTCCAGAAGCTTAACAACTCCATTCCGAACTTCGAACAGGTGCAAAACTTTACGGATGGTATCATTCGCCTGCCTTTCGAAGAGGTCAAGAAGTTGATCCGCGGCATGGACACATTCGAGTTCGACCGCACAGTTCTTCCCGTGCCACAGAAGGAAGCACTAAGCTTCTGCTCCGACGGCAACTCGATCAACGAGTTCTTCGATGATCTGATCGAGCTGGCCTACAACGCACGGAAGATCGCGCTCGGTGTGCTCATCGTCGCCGCCATCCTTGTTTGCGTCCCGATGGCGTGGATGGAGATGCGCCGCTACCGGAAGATGCAAGAACGTGCTGCTCTCTTCGCCGAGGGCCACGATGGTATGGACGTCGTCTTTCTCGCGTCCCGGCCAACATCTTCTGGCATCGGCCTGTGGTTCGGCAGGCGCTTCGGCTCAGCTCGTCGACAAGCTGTCATGCGCTGGGCCTGGGCCTACGCCACCTCCATTCCCATGATGTTCTTGATTTCTCTGGGCATCGCTGGTCTCTTTGCATGCTTCTGTCAATACCTCTTGCTCAAGGCCATCGAAGACAAGACCCCAGAGCTCACGGATCAAGTCGCTGACTTTGCCGGAAAAGTCGTTGAATCGATGAACAACGCGTCCATGTCATGGTCTAACGGCGTTAACGGCGCCGTCGCTGACTTGGACAACACCATCAACGACGACATCTTCGGCTGGGTAAACACCAGTACGACGGCAGTCAACGACACTCTCAACTCCTTTGTGGATCAGATGAGCACCACGCTCAACGACACGTTCGGTGGCACTGTACTTTACGACCCGATCAAGGAAGTTCTCAACTGCCTGATCGGCCTGAAGATTGCCAGCTTCCAAAGTGGTCTCACTTGGGTCCAAGAGCACGCCCACGTCAACTTTCCTGGCGTTGCAAACGACACGCTATC